AGATACAAATTTAAATTGTAAATTCAGAACTCACCAGACAAAGAAGCTGTGTGTTTCACCTAAGAATGGCAATGATCCAAACATGAGCTGGATTTTTTTCTTTTTAAAAATGAGGAAAGCAATTGTTGTTTTCCAGCAGCCCTTCAGAAACTCTTAGGTAGAAACTGAAACTGAGAGAAATTATTTAAATCTCTGCAGCCAACTCTGCATTTCAAGGTTAGAATAGGAATACAGATTATATGCCAGCTACTCTTTTGTTCAACCTATCCACCCCTCTCTGATTTTATTGCTAATTTGCCCTCCTGTCTGGCAAAGAGTTCTGTAGAAATCAAAACTTTGCACATGATATTGTAACTTTGAGCCAGTAAAATACTGTAAAGCAATTGCTCTAATATGGATATTCAAGCTACTCACATATTTATCTTTTATACCAAATGCAATCATAAGATTCAGAATGGCACAAAGTTGCAAGTGAGACCACTGTGTACTTAAACTAGGGTTTGTCTGAAATCACATCGATTTAAACAAAACTACATAGTAAGCAGGATACATGGTCATAAACTTGAGAGCACTGTCATATAAACATAGACGTCTGCAGAGGTCAGAAGTGGGGCAAATGATGTCATGTGCCTTATGACATCATCATGCCAAAGACATGGATTATGTAACTTGTATCAGTGGACCCAAATGATTCACCTGCTATAATCTGTGTCATTTGCACAATGCATGTATACAAGGGAACCATTTGTTAGAAGTTAATAAAAATGTAGAAAGTTATCCCTTCTGCTTGGGGTATTTTACAAAAAAGCAGAAGTAAAACTTATTTTGGTAGATACAATGAGGTTCCAATAAATTGTACATGCTCTTGTATGCATCATGACCCATCCCTGATTACTTTTATACCATTGAATCATTAAATTTTGTAACACAATCATTTTCCTTCTTTCCAAAGTTTTCAGAAACTAGTATTTCTGTCTTACAGATTTTAACTCTTTTGTCACATAAATTTATTTACAAATATCTGGAAGCGCAACAGAGAAGTACCAATGCTCACAACTGAAAAAAACAAACAAAACATTTTTAATCTCTGTAGTATTAGGACCACAAAAAGCAGAAAATAGAATTCCACATTCTGCTATACAAAAACTCAAATTTCTTTTTTTCCCCCTCTGTCCATGTTTGTATTTGTACTCCCTTTCTGATGGTGAGGGGAATAAATAGGAAAAATTACCCCAGCCCTTACAAAGACAGCAAGTCTCACTCAGTATATGTTCTACTCTCAGACCTAATAACCTTCAAAAGGCCTGGGTAGCAATAGCCTGGTAAATGAGGTGTGTGTGTGTCATGTGTGTCATGATGCCAATTAGCAAATATATGAACTATGCAATTGGTATCATTTGTGTGATGACTTCATGATGTGTGTGTGCCTTCAAGTCAGTTTTTGACTCCAGGTAACTGCCTGGACAAGTCCCTGCAGTTTTCTTGGCAAGGTTTTTTGGAAGTGGTTTGCCATTGCCGCCTTCCCAGGGCTGAGAGAGAGTGACTGGCCCAAGATCACCCACCTGGCTTCATGCCTAAAGCGGGACTAGAACTCCCGGTCTCCCATTTTCTAGCCTGATGCCTTAACCACTACACCAAACTGGCTCTCTTGACTTCATGATGACCTTGACATTATTATGGCTTGTATGAGATGCCTAGGTCAATGAGAAGAGCAATCCAAAGCATATCAACATTTGCTTCAGCATGATACCAGGCTTACTTGAAAAGAACCCTGCAATCAAGTTCTTCCCACACCCCTAAGGATGATTGGAAGAAAAAACAAGGAAGAAGAACCTCAGCAGTCTCCATTACTTATATAATCTAAGGTGTCACTTCTTTTTTAAAGATAACTTATTCAGAAAAAAATCATGTTCCTTTCAAGTATTCATAGTAACATTAAAATAATGAAAACGAGCCATTTCAACTCTGAAAAAAAATGCAGAAGGTATGATAATTTAACAGTGTCAACCAACTATCAAACCATAGCCTTCACAAAAAAACTCTACGTGTACACCTGAAAGCTGTGAAATTTGAGCCAGGTGGTTTCTTCTAGATCAGCCTTTCTCAACCAGGGTTCTGCAGGGTTCTATGAGAGGCTGCTAGGAGTTCTGTGAGAGATCATGATTTTAAAATATATATATTTTTGGAACTTTGCATGCTGCATAATTCTAGACTGGTGGGAACTTTTGCCATGGCTCAGCTGTGGCCTGTCACTTTGCTGTTGTTGTAAATGGATTGTGTAGGTTAGTAGTGAACTGTACTGTGAAGGTTTTGTATTTTTTAGAATTTTTATGCAAGGAAAATAATTTCAAGGGTTCCTCCAGGATATAAAGGTTGAGAAAGGCTGTTCTAGAGGAAAGCATTCTGTAACTGAAATACAGTGTCCAAAAACACCCTATCTCTGACAGACCTCAAATTTTAAGGACATGCAGCAAAATTGTGAATTGGAATATAGAACAGAGGTTGGGATTTATCAGGTGATAATTAAAGCATCATATATTTCTGATCTGAATTCATTTGATATAATAAAACTTTCTTCCGAGAGGCCCAATCATCTGACATATATTCCAAAAACAAAAAGCACATTTAAAACCATGGTTGAATGGAAAAATTGTTACAGGGCCAAACACTCTTTTGGACAGCAAAAATTACAACGATGAATCCCCAATATGAACTTCAACCCTATTATTTTGAACAGCTTTACTGTATTGTGTCACGCCACTTGAGAACAAGGCAAAAGCATGAACTATTATTACTATACCAAACATCTGGAAACTCATGTGCATTAGAGCTAATTCAATCAGGATATGCAAATGCCACTACAGTAAATCATTTCTTAATTGCAACATGCAATTATACAATGAAACAGGCCTCTCAGTTTCCCAAGACAAGTATCTTCTGGGTTAAACTGACTGAACCTGAGTCCTTTGGCATACGGGTTGTTATCCATGTCTCTGGTATTTTCTCCTCCATAACAGGTGACATAAAAATCTTTAAAGAAAATGGTTCATGATGCCTAAAACCAGTAATTCCCAGGCGTATCCTAGAGCACTCTAGTGTGCCACAAGAAAACTGCTAGTTTATCACAAAAAATAAGCCAGTTAAAGATTCTTGTACACTCTCCACTTATCCGTGGAGAGCCAAAACATGATTTCATACTGTTTCTTATTAATAAAGTATTGCTAGTTTTGATCTTTTCCAATCAGTTACTGCAGGGCATATATAATTCTGCTGCTTTTCCAGATTGGATAAGATTGAAACATTCGTGCTTCCCTGCTTGTAGTACAGGAATATTCCCATTGCATTTTTGCATGAATCATTTGCGTGGGTTTATCTCCTCTATGCCAGGGGTATCCCTAAAATATTGACTCACAACATTAAGGAGAAACTTCTGTGGAAGAGGATCATTCTTCTTAGAAACATGAAAGTCTGTAAGTGTGTGAGAGAACTGATTCCAATTTTAATTTGGAATGAAAATGTGCTCCTCTAATCAGAAGTATAGGTAACTTCATGTCTTGTTGCTGTAGGCCAGCCTTGATTTTGAACATGTATCTTAATCATCCCAATGAATTTATTAACTTTGATTCACAAGGAGTCTGGTAGTGCCTTTTCCAGCTAACCATTTTTATTAAAAGGCATATGCTTTTGTGAGTTACAGTTCCATTGAATCTGATAAAGTGAGCTCACAAAAGTTTATACCTTTTAATAAAATGTGTTAGTCAGAAAAAGTGCTATCAGACACATTTTTCCACTACAACGTTAACCTTAATTCCTTTTTTCTGAAGGCAAAAGGAGTTTAAGGGAACAGCAAAATATACTATGATCATAATTATTCTCACCATCAGTCAGATAAGACTGAAAGAGGATAAGTTGGTGAAGGGCACCTTGGAACAACATGGTTGAGATAACCTCAGGTCTCACAAGCTGAACCCAGGGAATCTGCATATGCATGTCTCCCCTGGAGACAGCCTTCTTTTGCCTTCTGGGATTATGCTGTTGCTTCTGAGATCTATGTCCTGGGTAGAATTAATATATCCCTAAAGTAAAAATCCATATTTTTCCAGAAATAATAAAACAGAAAAAAGGACAAAAAAAAAAAAAAAGAATTAAGAGGAAGGGAGGGAGGGAGGGAGGAGATACCCATAGATACAAAGGTCTGAGCAGCACACAATTCTATGGCAATATTGTGTTCAGGTTCATTTGCCTATTTAGTCTGCTGATAGATAACTTCAAAGAACTCGGGTCTCCTTTGTTTACCTTTAAATCCAATTTAGATCCAGAAGTCCTAGAAGGGAGGGAGGACTTAAATAAAATTGTGTCTTCTAACAGCCCTTGAAAGAAGACTAGCCTCTCTGGAATAGGATATATGGTCACCATACATACATACATACATATATACACATCCTCCTACTCACCTCCAACTTATTTCTGAACTTCAGCAAGCTTAATGGCTCAAGATTCTTTTCCCCTTTAAAAACTTTATTCTTCCATTAGCCAAAGAAAGCAAGAAGAAAGCAAAAAGGTACATTGTGTTATTTTTAGATATATTAGTCTTATCTGAACAGATTATGTTTGTCTTAGCCTGGGAACTTTCATTATAATGCACAGAAAATCAGCATGTTTGCTGACTGATAGAAGGAGCAAGCAGGAGTCAGAACCAAAGAGTTCCTAATATAGTACAGATATTTTACTGTTTCCTTCTGTGGTATTTCCTTGTGGGGGATTATATCATGTGAAATGGAGTGGTCAAAGGAATGTTTCATAAATTGGGTAGTTGCAAAATAGTAGGAATATGAGGGACTGAGTGATACCTCCAGCAAACCTCACAGGTTCACTTTGGACTCTTTTATATCACTACAAAAGTATTAAGTGACATGAATGATTTAAAAGTAAATCTCCCCTCACCTAGGTCCCCTCTTTGCCTTTGAAGTGGTTACCTGTTTTACTTTACAATAGATAGTCTTTATTTGAGCAGCTGTCAGTCCTCCAGAAGTATTGTCCAGTCCAAGTCTAGTTCAAAATTAACTATAAGATGGGAAAACAGGGACCCTGAAATTGCGCATAATAATGAGCCATTAGCAAGCACACAGGTAACAGAGGACTTATCTGCACTGTGTCAGTGCCACATCAGTAGAATGGGCTGGCAATAATTTCTAAGGGGCAGAAACAAATAAGGTTGCCCTCTATTAATCCCTCATTCACCATCAAAATGATCTCAGGATGCATTTTTCTGCTCTACTTCCAGAGAACACTGTTTCCATTTTATGTTGCCTCAACATCCATTTGGAACAGTGCACTTAGGTTCTTGCAGGCTAACCCCAGCTGTCCATTGGCTACTTTGTAATGGATGAAATACCCCTTCAATTGAGTCCATGCTTATCGTGCACGTTAATAGTTTCTATATCTCTCTTTACTTGCAGAATTGAAATAGCAGAGAGGCTATGATCTTTGCCTTGCATGTAGAAAGTTGAAAATTCAACAAAAATAATTACTTTTCTTCCTTTTCCTGAAGTCCCTGAGCTTTCTACTTTTCCCTGTTCTTTTTAACTGTTTTTACACTTATTGTTTTTACTTTTGGTTTTCTGATTTTATTGTAAGCCACCAAGAGACTTTGGTAGCCAACAGTATACACTGAACAAATAAAAGTTTGTTCCAAGCCAACCTTCCCAATCACATCAATCACTGACAGTAAGCTAAAAGTCATCTGTATTCCATTAAGACATAGTACATTTCGCTATGTTATCCTAGAAATTTAATTTATTTGAAGGACTGTTGTCCTCTTATTTAAAATTATCTGACTCAACAAACTTGCTTCAAATTACTCTCCTGATTTCTTCTGTTGTTTCTGCCTTGATGGCTTCTTTCTCTCCCACCATGCCAGATATCCCTCACAGTAATAATAGAAATTATGCCCTTAATTATTCATTTGTTTATACATAGTTTTTTAAAATTTAGTTCAAAACTGATTAGGCTTGAAGTAAAATATACAACAATGTAAATATTTATAAAACAGCAATTATTATTATTTCAAATTTGTTATCGTCACCCAACTCTGGACTCTTGGTGGCTTATCATAATATATTAATTAATTATTTTGGTTACTAATATATGACAAACAGTTTGCTTAAATTGTGGGATTGGCTTAGCTGAACAGCAAACTGCCCATAATAGAGGAGTAGACCATTTTCTTTGGTCCCTTCACTAAATTTGGTTACTGATACCATTCTTACAATTTCTGACACAAAGAGGTTGACTTTGAATAGAGGAGGTATTGAACGATGATATGATTTCCACAGACATTCAGCCCGCCTCTAAAAACCGTATAATATAGCCTTGATCGATAAAAATGTAACAAGTGATACACATATACATATTTGGCAAGATAAAATAAAACAAGCCCATTGTTTTATTTTTTCCACTCTATAAAAATTACATTCATTTTATACATTGGGGGGGGGGAAGCAACCTGCCTTTATAAATTTTATCTTATTATTGACAGGCTATTCATGGAATCATAGAGGAGTGGGACTTTTTTTTATCTGCAATCACATATATCGTTCTTATCTGTGACATCATCCAATACACTTAATTGTCTGTAGTTGTGTTTACAACTGTGTGTTTCTGAGCTATTGTACAGAATGAAAAGTGGGCCTCTTTAAAATGCCATAGGACAGCTAACAAATTTGGGCTGCATGATGTGTAAGTCAGTAAAATGTGTCTCCTTCAGCTTCCACAGAAATCTGCTGAAACTTCCAATACAATTTCTGATCAAGCCATGAGGTTTTTTCCTAATCCTATTTTACTGCTGCCCAATCCAGTAAGTATAAATTCTTCAACTAACCAGGGATATGGTTGGTGTATTCCTTCTAATTCTACCCCTTTCTTCATAAAGAAACAAGTGACTCATTTACAATCTGTAAAATGTTTGAAACAGGCCAGCAGAGAAGGCATTTAGAGAGGCCCCTCAATTACAATAAAACTTTGCCTCAGCAATTCCCCCCTTCCTGTAATCTTGAATTTCCATGAATTGCCTTTTCAAAGACCTAATGAAGAACTGCATGGATCCCACAGACACCAGCACATCATGCCAAGCCTCATAGCAATAATGGAGACTTATGTTGTGATTCAAAAGAACAATAGAATAATGTGCGTTTCCCAGAAACTCCTTGGATGCAGTTGAGCTGCTGAAGGAAAATACTAGAATGCTGAAACCTGTTTTTGTTTTAACACGTAAGCCTGTTGCTGTTGTTATTTTTTCTTCATAGAAAGTATATAGATGTAAAAAATAACATGAAATCCATGATGTAGATTGTGACAACTGCAGATTGTGTGTAATGCTATGCTTCAGCTATAAATTTTGAATAGGTGTTCAAAGCCATAGAATTTATGAAAGAAAAGTGATCATTCTTTCTACTCTTGCAATCCTAAGAGGGAAGGCTATATGCTCCGTAGCAGCTAACTAAAACTGGGGATGAACAAGAGTTGCGGAAACGTTTGGAGTAGAGCATGGCTTATTTTATTGTACAGGAAGATGTTTAGCTTTTTATTTTCTTTGGGCTTTTCTATCAGCATAGGCAGTAGCAGAGATCTAGGCAGTTGCCATTTCTCCACCTGTATCCCAGAATGCCCTCAAATGTCTTTGTGAAGGTTCTAGCTGCGGCTGAGAGCTGGTCCTCTGGAGGACTGCACTACATCGAAATAGTCCATCAATCCAGAGGGCAATCTGAGCATGAAGAACTTCAGTAGGAGCGGCCATTTTCTTCTGGAGTGTCCAAGGATCAACAATATGTTGTGGGATATTTTTGAATAAAACCAGCAGTCACCTGCGGTAGGTATTGTACAGAGCTCTATGGTAGCTTCTGCTACCAGCTAAGCATGGAAAAAAACGTAAAAATACCATAATCCTTTTGAAAAATGACATGTGCCCTTCCATGAAAAGTTTAGGAACTTTCTGCCAACAGGAAGGTGATGATACATATGTTGCCCAACAATGCAGTGGCAAGTGAGGGAAGGGATATTCTTAATAGCTGATGGCTATATGAAGATGTACTGTTCCCACTTGCTAAGCCCAGTGATCAGTGAAGTACTTTTCAGTTAATCTGACAGGCATTCCTATTTGAGAATTGTTTCACTGGTTGCCACTACAAGACCAACAGCTACAATAAAAGAACCCATATTTTGTACCAGCGTAACAATGTACCACTTTATATCTTCAAAATGTTGATATTTTTCATACAAACCCAGTGGGGATAATAAGAATGCCCTTTCTAGTCTAGCATTCTGTTGCACAGAGGCCAACCAAATGCCTATGGGAAATCCATGAATACAACAGAGTCCCTTAAAATCTCCTAGTTATACTCTATGAAAGTAGTTGTGACCGGCACACAGCTTCTGATACTGTAGGTAAAATTTAGATGCCATAACCTATACCCCTTGATGATAACCCTGTCTTCCAAATATCTATTCAATTTCCTTTTAAAGCTGTTCTAGTTGGTGGGCATTATTCTTTCTAGCAGTTGCAAATTCCATTCCTTAAATTCATGCTTCAGATTAAATAGCTATAAATTTAGACACAGATTTTAAAGCTATTGTTCCAGTGCTTCTGTGTAGGTCATAGATGTCAAAATTCATGAAGTGTGGAACCTATTTGGAGAAAGAATTGTTCAATACGTTTTTCCAGTTAAAAGCTTAATTAGAAGCACATTTTCTTCAGACCTATTAACTGATTTCTTTGTACATTAATATATTTTTTAAAGGGTTTTATTAAACTTAAGTAACAACTTTTTTTTTTGCACCATTCATTTGGCATTCATTTTGATAAGATTCCAAACAAAATGTTACAAGAGAGGCTACGTTTGCCTGTGCTTTCAACTCTGTGAAGAAATATGGGATATGACCAATTCCCACAAACTATTTAAAATATCATCATTGCAAAATATTTGGACTGAAACAATTTTGTCTGGTACCAAATCAGAATATAAACAAAGAGACATGACTCAGAGTTTAAATTAGATGTTGTAAGTGTGAACAGAAGAAATAATTCAGCATGACACTTATTTTCTGCATCACTTCACGGCCTGACTGAAGTGCCTAGTTAAAAAAAATATTCAGGTATGAACAATAATAGTGATGATGATGATGATGTTGATGATGATGATGATGATGATGATGATGATGATGATGATGATGATGATGATGATGATGATGATGATGATGATGATGATGATGATGATGATGATGATGATGATGATGATGATGATGATGATGATGATGATGATGATGATGATGATGATGATGATGATGATGATGATGATGATGATGATGATGATGATGATGATGATATCCAGGTATGAAAAATATCTTTTACTAAAAATTACTAAGGAGATTCATGGGGAGCATGGTATCACGCATTCTTTACATTGTGCAGCTAGGCCAAACTTTCTCTAGATCAGAAAAAAAAAGTATGTATTTTTGGAAACAAGACACAAATACTCAACCATCAATCAGACAGGCAGCTAGATTCATTGGATATGGTTCCATATGTGAAAACTGGAATATGAATAAATGCATTTCTATTTTCATGAATAAACAACAGTTTCAGCAACCTTCCAGGACCAGTTTCTAGTCCTGTTACTTTGGAATCAGGTCAAAGTCTGAGAATCTCCCATTTAAAGTTGGAAACTTGACATAACTGGTCCCTCTATTTTGGGGGAAGTCAGGAATGCTTCTTATGTGTCACTGCAAATTCCATAGCTTCTTTGTCACTTAGGATAGGAGAATTCTGCTCCAGTGAGGAGGAAAAACAAAGAACAGTAAAAGAAAGCAAAGAACAGCTACACAAAAAGCTAAAAACAGAAAAGGACCCACACAGGAAATGAAAAGAGGACAAATAGCTGGTCCTGAGAGTATTTGGAGCCAAAGCAGGCAAAGGAACTTTGAATCTTGGATGTGCATCCTCTCTGTATCTGTTGGCAGCTCTTTAAAGTAGCAGCACCTTTCCTTGCAGGCTCATGAAAATACTTATTTTAATTCCAGAGGTATTACAAAGGTGGCAAAGGAGTAGGACCTCATGTCTGCAAGGTTCTTAAAGCAATTCTGTGTAGGCAGGCTTTTGAACATTACAGATACTCCTGTGGAGTGTTATGTACACACCCAGGCACACTCCTAACCACATTCTACCTTTTGAATCTGAATCACTACACAGCACATCAAGAGAGTCAGATTACAATAGAAGAGAATATATGTAGTTCAGGGTTGAACGGTGGAATGCTTGGTGCTCTCTGAGCTTGGTTGTTTGTTTGCAGACGTTTCATTACCTGACTAGGTAACTCATCAGTGCTGTTGATTTTACTTAGTCGGTAAGAGCACTGATGATGTTACCTAGCCAGGTAATAAAACGTTTGCAAGCAAACAACCAAGCTCAGAGAGCACCAAGGACTCCACAGAGTTAGATTACTTGATGCCATTTCTATGACTATTGCTTCTGGTATTGCCATTACCCTGGTCAATCCAAGTACCCAAGTTAGAGCTCACATCTGGGCTGTAAAAATCTGGACAAGCATTAGGTGGCAGCAGAAAGAAACAGACAACTCTAATGATTTGCTGCCATCACGTGGTCACCTTGAGTTTTGTAGCCTAGATATGGTATCCCTACTCAAGTTGTTCCCATACAAGGTGAGCCTCAAACAACCAAGCTCAGAGAGCACCAAGGACTCCACAGAGTTAGATTACTTGATGCCATTTCTATGACTATTGCTTCTGGTATTGCCATTACCCTGGTCAATCCAAGTACCCAAGTTAGAGCTCACATCTGGGCTGTAAAAATCTGGACAAGCATTAGGTGGCAGCAGAAAGAAACAGACAACTCTAATGATTTGCTGCCATCAAGTGGTCACCTTGAGTTTTGTAGCCTAGATATGGTATCCCTACTCAAGTTGTTCCCATACAAGGTGAGCCTCCTGCTCCTTCTGCTGAATGGGATGGGCTTCTGGAAACCAGAACATTTTCTTGCTTTGGAGGGATGTGTCCAGACCCCCCTCATATTGCCAAGAGTGTCCTGGCAAAATCAGGATGTCTGGTCACCTTATGTCAACAACTGTTGAAGTTTATAGCATGAAACATGACATTTGGCTGCTGTGCTCATCCATTATAGCAGCTCTATTTCTGCTTTCCATAGCAATTATTACTGCCATTTAATTTTATTAAAAATAAATTCATCTATGAAACTTGTGGCACTGCTTTAAAAGAATTTAATTGTAACATGTGGTTGAATGACTTTTTTAAAAACAAAGGTAAAAAAAACACATAACTACCCCTTCTGCTCTTTGCCATTCTTTGCTACAACCTCATGCAAAATTGCTTGGTTTCCTCAATCTTTAACTATCAGCCATTAGGAAACTAGATGGTTAGACACTGGCAGAATACCTCCTACGCTGATTACTTTATCTCTTCCAAGTGTAGCACAATACACCTCACAACGTTTGTTTGGTAGGGAACATGATGGCAATTTCCCAAGCTTGAGCAGCAGCAGGAGTCCTGTTTCCTGGGTCTGCAGAAGATAGAAAATATCACATTTCTCCTTTAGTCAACCCTTTCAATATCCTCGTCATGCTTCATTACTTTTACAAGTCACCATTCTGCTCTTGGAATCTTAACAGGTAAAGGCCTCAAGCCAACATAAAAATGGAGTTGGCCCCAACAGAGAGCACAAAACCTTCATGTCTTATCTGCTTCATATCTTGGCATGTCTAACCACAAGGCCTACCTTATTGACGGGCCCTGCTGTCCTGAGGCTACGAATCTGTAATAAGATACACAACAAATAATAAACTCTCTCCCCAACACACACACGCTTACACACGCTCCACACACACATTTTGCTGAAAATATATATACTGTGGTAATTAAACTGTTAACGTGATGGATGGTCTTATTTCATATGTGAATTCAAAGTGACTTTTTAGATCATAACAACCTGGAATGATTTCATTCTAAAAATACAATGTCATGTCTCATAACAAACCCCAAGAAGAACCTGACAATATTTGGAAGTCAGATGTTTCTACTTTCTTTTTAAACAAATATTTTCAGAGCATGCTCACCCCATATGAGAAGTAGGCAAAATAAATATTAGCATTAGCCTTTGTGATTGTTTTTAATGAGTAAGTATTATCCATAGGGATTGAGCATAATCAGAAATATGGGTAGAATAGGGCGGCTTTCCTCAATCAAATGCAATCTATCTTTACTGGACTCCAAAACTAGTATGAATGTACTAATTGGAGATTATATAGTGTTTTGTTTTGTTTTTGTAATAGTCCTCTCTGTCCATTACAACATGAACAATGAGAAATTTACTGTACATCTCCCCCCCCCCCCCCCA